TTAATAACAGAATATCGATAATATGTCTGCTTACAAGAACAACCCTGTCTCAAAATAATCGTTATCTGCAATCTTCAAAATATACTAACAACCAGCAATCTAAAGTAACTAAAGCAAAATTCGGTAAGACTTATGAATAAACCACTTAAATGAGTCTAATTACATGAAATATTTGGGCTGTTGCATGGTTTATTGACAAAAAAATAACACATGCCGGTGTATGTAACATTCGGTTGATTTCCGCTTTTTCTACTGCCACACCCATTAATGCCGCAGCGACGCATTTTAATCAATACTTAATTGTTCTCACTGTAAATATTTTTGTTCATATTTATTACAATTCATGCGAATAATTCAATAAAACATCTGGCCAAGCATCGGTTTTGACATTTCATGTACTTCCCCGTGACAACCGGATGCGAATGTCAAAGGGTACTCCAAAAATGGTAAAATGAGGATAGTGGGAATTTAAGATGACGTTACATATTTTCGATTCCCGTGTTTGACATAAATCAATGTAGTGCTATCTCTTTTCGCTTACGACGGCATACAGTAGTTAAACAAAGACAATAAAATGTTTATGTTTTCAACGTCTAAATGCATGTTATACATATAACGAACTACGAAGGTTGCAGCCGCAGGATTTAAAAAAAAACCAAAATTATTTAGAATAAGTTTAATTACAAGAAAATTACAATATAAAAGTTATGGCTAATGCCCCGATCGATGCTAGATGCAAAGTGAAGGCGATGACGTCCCCGCGGGCGGCTCCGATGGTGGTCACGCGGCGGCAGCTTACACGTTCCGCGGAGTCGGCGGCGTTGACGGTGCTCACGTTCCGCAGCGTTGGCATTAACCCCATGTTGCAATATTTAGTTAATACCTAGTTGCTAAGGCGATGTCAGCGATCTTCATGTATCCAGTATGTGTAATTCCTCCCCTCTCAGATCAGCAACTATTTGAGAACTTGGAGATCAAATGTTGATGGTAAAGTGCGTTCTCCAAATTTTCCAGGTATTCCACAATTTACGTGACGTCTTGGTTCGGGGAGATCAGGCTTTGCATATTGACGGTAGTTGGCTGGATCGATGGCTTTGTCTTTTCTAAGTTTAAGTAGTCCGTAGCGTCGTAGCATGATTACTATTGTAAGTGCGGTTGCACCGAATAGTGCAGCGTAGAGGGGTATCGTAGTACGGTACAGTGTTGTGGTAGACGGTTCGTTGATTTTCACTGGATTCTGTAGCGATATTTTATTCTGAGCATTATGAAGACTCTTTAAGTCGATCGAGTGTAGATTGATGTGGATAGAGTCGATACTTTGCATCTTCGAATCTGGAATGTTCATTATCTTGAGCGGTTGGCCTTTCAATTCGTCATTGTCGTTCATGATGGTAAGCTCAGGCGCGCGTAAGCTGTACTTCAATGGGATAGGCAATAAATAAAAACAATAACAAGGCAAGGTAGGTTCCTCGTAGCTGGGTGTATTTTTCACGTTTACAGGACAGTTGTACCTTTGTTTCTCGCGGTAGTGAGATTATGTAGTGATCCTCGTTTAGTTTTTCCACTGCTTCTTTCAATAGGGTGACGGATGACAGTTTGCAGGAACTCTCCAGGGTTTGCTTCGAGATGAGATGCTGGATGCAGTCGGGTACAGTACGAATTTGATGGTTTACTCCTTCTTAACGGAGGTAGTAACGACTACCTAAGTAACGACTTAGCTTCGGGTATTCAACCTCTATGTACACGAATGCAGACTCGCTAATTGCCATATAGGGATAGGAAGGAATAATGGCTTGGTGGTTTCTATTGGGTACTATTGATAACCTAAAAAGACTATAATTTTCTACTGTAACTATCGGAATTATCTACGTAATAAAAAGCAGGTTTTATAATTTTATAAAATTATCGCAACTCTATTTCTAGTATGTTTTCCTTACTATATAATTTTCCTAATCTATTTATCATATTACTTAAAATATCTACTTTGAGCATTGCATGATGCGTACTTGATGCTCTTACGAATGTTAGTATATTTTTATGTTAATTAACTCATTGCATATATCGTCTATATTTTCACTGATGATTATTAGCATTTGAGCGGATTTTGCATACATTATGAGGCTAGAATTTAGGAGATATTCTTTATCTAGTAATGAATTTAATGTACTATTTATGAGATTTTGGTTATCTACGATCTGAGAAATGACGTCAAAGTGCTTCTTCATCCAGCCTTTACTGTAGCTAATATAATTATTCAATTCAAAAGCTAATTTATCTTCGTTTCTATGGAAAGTTTTTATAGCGTTATTATAGTTCAAAGCGTCATTATAATCCAAATTACCGGTTATACTTTTTATTATAGTTCCAAAGGCATTTACTAACCTTCTCTTAGCGCGGTTTGGCTCTAAACTGGCTAATTGTGTTAAAGCTTTCTCTTACTTATTATTCAGATAGTTAATTTGGAGTTCATACGATGCATAAGTGTCATTGGGAAGTCTAGTCTCAAAAGTCTGTATTTGTGTCTGTAATGGAGAGATTTTTTCTTCGATATCATTTAATTGAATGCGCTGCAGGAAAGTAATGTATTATAAGTTTGGTCGGCCCTAGTTTAAAGGGTAAAAGTCCTGGTCCGTCACCCTCGATGACGTCTCAAGTCTTATTTCCTGTGGGCTTGCCGTTTGAAGCATCAGAATCCTGTAACAATTTAGCATTTTTTGGTACTCGTTTGAGTCTGGACTTAGCCACAGGACCACGTTTCTTAGATGTATAAATGTGGATAGGTAAGTCGGCTAAAACGGTGTCCTGGGTAGGGGCGACTTTTTGCCTACTAGCCATGGGATTTTTTATAAAGATTTGTTGTTGAGGGGTATATTCTATTTCAGGTTCCCGGGTCTTATTCTTGTTTTCTATCAATGCTGTACGATTGTCTAAAGATGTTTGATTAATTAGTTCGTAGACCGTATTCATCTGGGCTTTGTGGTTTTGCAGGTATTGCTGTTATAGATGTGGAACAGGATCTATATCTACAGGGTCCCTGGGGTCGAAATGTCCTGTTATCAAGTCGAAAGGTTTACATTTATTAAAACTATGTCTAGAAGAGTTATAAGCGATGATTGCGTATGGCATTAAGTTCACGATAGGTGTGTTTTTATGACGTAATTTTAGTATGCGAAGGTGTTCCAGGGTCGAATGAAAACGCTCGATATTACCGTTATCATTTGGCGCGTGCGCTAATGTTCTGTGATGGTTAATCTTATGAATTCTTACGAATTAAGCAAACAATTGATTCGTGAACTCTGTTCCGTTATCGGTTACTATAGTATAGGGAAGACCATGGTGTGTAGCAAACTGTAGTAACCCTTGTAATATACTGACCGCCGTGCCGTCTTTTAAAAGATACGCTTGATCGTATTTTGAAAAGACGTCTATAAAAGTTAAATATTTTTCGTGCAGGGCAGTAAATTAAATTGTTGTCTCACAGGATTCCTATCATATTTAGCTTGACCGCAAATTATACACTCGCCTATAAATTTCGCTATCTGTTCTTTCATTTTCGGCCAAAAGTATTTTTTTTCAAAGGGCTAAATAACACTCAGCAATGCCTCTATGGTTAGTTTTACTATCGTGGTAATTACAAATTATTTCCTGTTGCCGAAAATATTCCTTGACGTTCTCTATTTCTGATTTCGCCAAGACAAGTTCATAGATGAACTCTTAAATTTTTCTTGGATGATGGGGATGATAGAATACATGGCAAGAGGTGGATTTATAAGCTTTGCCGTTTTAACTTTCGGGCTTACATACTCATTTATAGCAGTAACTATATCATTCTCCAAACTTGACTCATTTACTTGAATTAAAATGCGAGTGTGGTTATCAAATGGTTTTGTTGTCACGGCCCTACGTTTCACGTCCTTTACAATAGTGATGTGCAACTGTCGGTGGAATTTATTTAATGGTTCATCAGTTATAGGAATTTCTAAAATAGGGTTTTCGTGACTAGTATGCGCGGTTTCTGTTTATGAGTTAGATAATAAAGATGGAGGTTTCTCTGAACAATTGGCGGCTATAGAACTGGTTTCCTCATTATGTAACTCAATTCTGGATAGAGCATCTGCGTTGGTGTTATTTTTGCCTTTTTTTTACAAATTCACGGTCAAAGTCGGGATACTGTAGGATAGGGTCATTTGTCAAGAGTGTTTTACAATTTTTAAATGAATTTACATAGTCTGTGTCCAAGGTCAATATTGACCAACGGTTTAGTGATCCGGACAAAATTCGGAATAAATTTTCGATAGTAACCAATTAAACCTAAAAATTGTTTAATTTGTTTAGTGGTTTCCGGTATTGGGTATTTCTCAATTGCAGAAATTTTGTCAGGGTTCGGTTTTATGCCTTCTCTTGTGAAAACATGGCCTAAATAGTCAGTTTCTTTTTTAAGGAACTCCGATTTGTCTAATTGAATTTAAAATTGGACTCGCGGAGTCTCTGCAGCATTTTTTGCAAATTATTGATGGCCTCTTGTAGGGAAGTGTCTAACACTATTATATCGTCCAAATAGACTATGCAAATTTCATTTTGAAGGCCTCTAAGCACGTTGTCCATTACTCTTTGAAAAGTAGAAGGACTGTTCTTTAAGCCCAGAGGCAATCTTAAAATTCATAGTGTCCGTGCTCGACGTTAAAGGTAGTTTTTGGAATATCGACTTCATTCATTTCTACTTGGTAGAAACCTGATGCCAGATCTAAGGTAGTAAAATATATACATCTGCCTAACTTGTCAAGAATGTCCGTAATATTAGGCATAGGATATTTGTCGTCAATTGTCTTTTCGTTCAATTTACGAAAGTCTACCACCAAACGCCACTTTTGCTTTCCCGATGCGTCCGCTTTCTTGAGGACGACCCATATGGGAGAGCTCCATGCGGATGTGAAGGGTCTAATTATTTCTTGTTCTAACATTTTACCTATTTGATCGCGAACCTCATTCCGATGTATGAATCAATATCGGTAACTTCTCGTGTAAATAGGCACTTCACCAGTTGTATTGATGCGGTGCTTTATTTTATTCGTGAAAGTTAACAGTTCACCCTCCGAGTAAAAAACGTCGGCATAGCGCGAACATAAGGCCTTTATACTTTCTTTTTCCTCCGCGTTCATATGATCCGTTCTAAGGCGCGAGAATACGCCGCGAGCGCGTGCCATATGTGGTGGCTCAGCACGCGTGCACTCGATATTCAATACTTCCGCTTGCGCCGGCCGGTCTAAAGAAAATATAATATCGTCATCTGTCAAGTTATGAACTTCTAATAATCCGCGACTATTTACAACAGAAGTTACGCATTCTTGAAGGAGACAATTACAGATAACCTCCTCTCCTACTAGAACATCGGTGTCCGGTATGTCTATCGGAATATGAACCATTTTAGACGAGCGAGCTGTATGATGTCCTCGTAAAGGTTGACGTTACATGAATTATGCATTTTAATGGGATTGACTGCATATTGTACAGTTAATGTTTGATTTTTCAGGTCTATTTTCGTTTCCCATTCGTTAAGTAGGTCTAAACTTATAAGACCGTCGAAGTGATCATGGAAACGGTAGACGAATAGTTTTATAAGTTTCGTATTATTAAATTCGGAAAAGCAAGGAAGGGTAATAGAGTACTCTTTACGACTGCTTCCGTGGACATTGGTAACTTCAAATGGATCGTAATTTAAAGGGAAGTAGTTAAAATACTTGTCTACGCATTCCGGAATTATGAAAGATTGATTAGCCCCCGTATCGATTAACAGCTTTAATGGTGGATCTGCAGTATGTACAAAGGGCAGCCGCCTCTGCGTTTGTAAATTAATTTCTATTTTAATTTGTTGGACGGGGCACTCTCCTGAAAATCCGATTCCACGTTAGTACACGTAGCCTGCGGTTCGTTACTTGACTGCGCGTTGGTGTTAGGTTCGCAAAACTGAACCCTATCGTCATAGTTATAAGTCGTGTCATAGTATTGACTGTCACTGACGTCACTGCAATAATATGCTGCGTCGTAATAGTCCTGGTAATCGCAATAAGAATCGTCATAAGCGCAATCATTTAAATTGATTTCCCGCGCCTTAAAATACTTATTTGGCGGTGGGTTCCCGAATTTACGCCAATCATATCCCATTGAGGTAGGAGGCAGAGCTCTAGGTGCAAAGTGCTGTACTCCGCTCATAGGTCGTGAGTTAGAAAATTGGAGTGGATTTCTATGCGGCAATCTAAAGTTGTTTGTTTGAGGGTTATAGCGTGGTGGTGGTGCACCGAACATTTGTTGGGTACGGGACGGCATTCGTGGTTGAAAATTAGGTGGCGTATTAAATTTATAGGGTTGCGGTTGAACCGGATAACGAGTGTAAATTTACGCTCCAACAGAGTCCTCAATAAAGAGATAAACTGATAAAATTTCCTAAAAATTCATGTTACTACTGGTACTATTATACTACTTTCTGAAAATAATTTTTTACGATCTTTTGACATCTTTTTTTTGCTACACTTTGCATATTTCTACACGCAGTGTAAATGAGATCCGACGGGGATCCTCTCGTTCAATCAAAATAAATTTAATCGTTACAGATTTTTCTAATATACACCGCTCACTTGATATCATAAAATGAAAAAATGAAAAAAACCGTTCCTTCCGAGCACGAAGACAGCCTCCGTTTCTTTTAATTTTTAAAAATGGATCTAACTGGAATTTCGTACATTTTCGTAGTTGTGTTCATTTTTATACGCATATAATATTAATGACGAACAAGTGTATAATAATTGTAATTAGGACCACTCCATCTAGTATAACTGAAAGGGTTTTAGATTTAGTATTTTTACTGCTATCCCACTGAAGTCCTTGGCACATTTTACAATCCTCTTAGCCTGGGTTCGTAGTTAATTTACAGCCTTCATGGGTCTTAGAGGCCTTTGTAACTGCATGGGTGCTTAATAACAGCTTTATAAGATAGTAAAAGGCAACCCTCCGTTTCTCTCAGTAAATGCGAACCTGTTCGACCAATTTCGCAATATTGAGTAGTAGACAATTGCAATGATTTACATCGAAGTGATCGATAATTGGAAATTAATAGTTTTGTAATGCTTTGTGACATAACAATTCGTTTTAAGTAAAATGTTGTAGGTCACTAGCAACACTTATTTGTACATATATATCGGTTTTAATTTTCAAGTTTTCTTTTTTCTGTTTCCGTATATAGACGTACTATTTACAATGTACCCACACCAAAAAATCAGTCTCGGTTTCCTTTAATAAGAGGGTCTTCCCGATATGATCTTCTCCAGTTGTCTTCACATATTTTCGGAGAGTTTGGCGAGGATTGCATGTGCTACAAGGACTAACTAAAACTCCCAAAAAAAACAAGACCGCTTTGAGTGCTGATGAAAATCAGCCATCCAAATGTAGCCGTTAAACGGTAATCATCGGTTATCGAGCATCCAACGGATTTCAATTTGTGTAACCATTTTAGCGAAAAATTGTCTCGTGTGACGCAGCTGGCTATCTTTCCCGACCATACCCCGTTCCCCGCGTACCCCGCAACCTTCATGCCTCTTTTTACCCATCACCACTATTTAGGGCTACCAGATTTAAAATTGAATTGGTTCACATTATCAAACTGAATAAATGCTATTAAACCATAACTCAGTTGTCAGTAACGGCATACGTCATATTCATTTGCAGTAGGTACAGATCGACCCACTTATTTCTGATATTATACTCGTATGTGTTGGGGCGCGAGCGGCAGCAGCTTTGTGAACTATAACAACCAATGGTTCAATTGACTTTTTGATGTACTTTTTAAAAAGCAGAAGCTTCAATGTGACGTTTTCAAGTGTAAATTTATTTTACCTATCGAATATAGAAATAATCTTTGACTTTGACTTTGATAAATTGAAAAAAAATTGAAAAAACCAAATACAAAGATTCGGCAATAAGTACACAGACAAATTCGTGAGGTCCGGTGGTTTGTCCCGTGGCTTAGTTGGTATAGTGTCTGGCATGGTATGTCAGTTCGAATCCGACCGGATCGAAGGAATTTTTTCTGAATGTTCGATCTATGTATTAATAAATATGACAAACTAGTGGAGTAATTTCACACAAAATAATTAAATATCAATTCAATATAAATTTATGTAATTTAATACTCCGATTTTTATCTAACCTATATATTCTGCAAGTTTTTTGGGAAAGCAAGCGTAAAAGAATACATAAACGGTGACAAATGATTAGCAGACGAAAGAGACATTTCGATATATTTACTGGCTTCGATTTGGCTCTACACCATATTGTACTTCATTTCATTCATGATCTATAATGAAAGGTACTTGATATTCAACTAAATCTGCCTATGTGGAAACCCTACCCACCACAATTTATCTACCCGTATTGGCAACAATATGCTAGAGCTGCGATAGAACACTTTTATTCCCCAATTTTCTTTTACGGTCGGATTAGATGGAAATTTTTTCTTGTTTGTTTTTCAGGCGTCGTTTGTTGTAACGATAATAATCTTTCCTAAATTTGCAGAAGTTCCTAAAGTGAAAATTGTAAGAATCTCTTGTGAACGATAACATTATTAGATTTCGTATCATACATATTTTTTCGTCGTACCTAATTGTCTATAATGTCGTACCCTGAAGCCCTTTAAATTAGTATAACTTATAAAGTACATAACTGCGGGACGTAGCAGCAGTTCTACTAGTAGACGTTTAGCAAATCGAATAAATCTAAAACTCGATTGTATAGTTACTCCCCTAGTGTAACGGTTTCTTCTGCTGTGCGATTTTGAATCGATCTGGATAAATTAGTTCTAGGTCCTCGTCAGCAGTAGCTGTGAGGTCCATTAATTCATCACAAGGGATTATAACTCTTTGCAGACTCCGGCGACGAATTGGAATTACTTGAACAGACTAATTCGGCAACAGGGTTTGGAGCTCAATGTCGTAAAAGTAGTGTAAAGGACCACAGTCCCAAAAAAAAAAACCATATGAAATGCTGAACTCAGCCTAATTGAGACGGGATAATATAGTGGAAGATATAACAAACATATAAAAAGAAACTCGTAAAAATAAGAAACGGTGGAGTGAAATGTTTATGAATAATAAATAGATGATAAATGTCGCATAAGTATATCAAGACACTTGCACATGAAGGTCAAACCCCGCGGGGTAAAAGGCGTGGTTATTTTTTCGTCCTAGTTATTAGTACTTACGAATGTCTGTGTTAAAAAAGAAAATATCTTAGGTTATAGGTTGGGGCGCAGTACCAGAAGCCCCAGATCTTTGCGGTAAGGGCTGAGTAGCACAGCAATGGTTGTGGATAGACGTGTCGCTTACCACCTGGCGTTAGGCAAACAAGGTTAAGTTCATATTACAATGAAACCAAGGACAGTTATAACCGCTCACGCGATTCATGCGTCTCTGGAAGCATACCACACCTAGAGGTGCCGGTGATGATTTTATACCGATTTATCGGATATCGAAGTTATAACAGGTAAAAGAACTAATAGTAATTGCTATTTCGGTAACTACTCTAGCAAACCATAAAGTTTTTAATGCCTGGGTCTGTCATTTAAAAAAATAAACAACTTCAAAAATACGTCATGACAATCGTGTGTGTTATTGTTTGGGCTGGTGATGTCGGTGTTTATTTACTGAAAACATACCGTAAATTGCGTTTTTTAAGTTTACCCTGAATATAAAGGTTTATAAACTATACTTTAAGAGTAATTTCATGGTAAACATTAGAACCACTCAAACGGAATATTATCATATTTACCCAAGTACACCAAAAATGTCATTAGTGCTTTTTAAGTGCAGGATTTGCGGTGCATTACTGCATTTTATTTGAGATGTTTTTGTTGTAGTGCGGATGGTATTTATTTAGCAATGCAGAATAATAATCTTTATTTTTAAAAACTTGTATTTCAACTGAATCCTTTTCTAATTTGCGAAACCAAATAGCCGCCATTTTGCGGTAGGAGGAGCGCATCGCGTGAGCGGTTAAGTATCTTCTTGACGAGCATTGCATATATCATTCCCGTTCACAATAATGTCACTGTCCATTACGTGAACTTGTAGGACAGATGGCACTACGGCAAAAAAGTATGTATGTATATTTCTGAATTTAATGCACTGGCACTGGAGGATAATTTCTTTTATATTTCTTTTATGCCACCAATGGACTTGTTAGTAGCGGACCGTTAAAGTTGTAAAAGAGTCGCCACGGGACAGGATCTTACTTTTCCTG